CAGTATGATAGAGGGGAAATTGGAGTGGAGAGGGCTGTCTTAAGCGATTGCAATAAAAACATTATTTTGCACATTTTACAAAAACATATGACGATGTAAGCACATTGCTGGGGATCTTCCCTAAGCTAAGAAAGGGTCCCGGGCAATCGAGGGGCCCTAAAGCTTAAGCTCCATTAGTTCCAAGATACTATCAATAGTGCAAGGGAGAAACACGAAGCAAGAGTGCGCCATAGGGAGTTGGGATGGGGCACTGCAGTTCTAAAGAGGATGCTCTGAGTCCATGACATCAGAGCAAACCCCTGAAGGAGGTGACGGAGCGAGCCATGAGGACATCTGGGGGGCTGCATTCTAGAATCTAGACGCCGACAACTGTGACTGCAAAAGCGCCGAGGTGGGCCGTGCCTCGATTGGAAAAGCAAGGAGGGCTGTGTGACGACGGGATCCCCAGGCTGGGGCCCAGAGAGGGTGAGACAAGCTCCTGGTCACACAGCAAAATCAGCGGCAGAGCAGGGACTGGAACCCAGATTTCCACTAGGGGTTGCGTATGGGCAGATGGCTAAACGAAGGCCCCTGAACCAAAGAGCCTCATGTCCCATATACAGGTTTCTGTTGGTTGTTCTATAACCCAATCCCTACTTCAACAGCTTCCCCGGAACTCGAAGCCCCTCCACAGCCCAGATCCTAACAAGACCCTCGCCGGAGCTCTCAGCAGCTGCGCGGGTCCCAAGCCTCGCGCCAGAGCTGGCCTCATCTTTGCCTGCTCCATCCCGAGTGCAAAGTCGGGAGGCGCCTCTCCTCAATGACCTCTCGCTGCATGGGTGCAAGCCTCAACTTTCGCACCAGTTAGTCCAGTCTTTTGGAACCGCAACTCTTGAAAACATTTTTCGCCGCAGGCAAACCCTTTATACCTAAATCCAAGGTCAGGCCCCCCCCCGCATATGAATTTCCTTTCACGCGAGAAGCCGGTCCGAGGAAGCTGTCAGCCATCATGTGTGTGGCATTCCCTCTGGTTCCATTTAGTTTGCCCATCCTTTATGCCGAACTATTTCACGCCTTTATTTCTGAATTTACACCAGTACCACAACATGGGTGCAAGCCTCAACTTTCGCACCAGTTAGTCTAGTCTTTTGGAACCGCAACCCTTGAAAACATTTTTCGCCGCAGGCAAACCCTTTATACCTAAATCCAAGGTCAGGCACCCCCCCCGCATATGAATTTCCTTTCACGCGAGAAGCCGGTCCGAGGAAGCTGTCAGCCATCATGTGTGTGGCATTCCCTCTGGTTCCATTTAGTTTGCCCATCCTTTATGCCGAACTATTTCACGCCTTTATTTCTGAATTTACACCAGTACCACAGAGTCACATTTATTGAAAAACTCGTCCTTCCTAACATGGCTATCTCAGATTGCCGGCGGCCTCGGGAGAGCTTCCGGTTTCCCGGCAGGCCAGAGGGGGCTGAACTTCCGGTCTCCTGACGCAGGCGCGGGCCGCTGCCTTCGCTCTCTCTGGCGGTGTTCGCGAGCGACGCAGCCATGTCTTATCCCGCTGATGATTATGAGTCTGAGGTAACGAGGCCCTGAACGCGTGGTGGGCTCCGCGACGGGGCAGGGCTCTCTGGATGCTGGGTCCCGGGATGGGGCGATGTCCGGGCCTCTCCAGGAGCCCCCTTGGGCCGCGGCCAGCTCCGGCTGCAGCCACAGTCCCCGCCTCTTCAACCACCCTGTCTCTGCTCGCCCACTTCGCGTGTGCGGTCAGCTTGTCCTCCTCTCTTCCAGGACCGGGGACGGAGGCTGATTAGAGGTTTTGTGTTTTTGTAAATAAGCTCTTCTTTGTTTTTTTTTTTTTTAAATAAAGATGACCGGTAAGGGGATCTCAACCCTTGGCTTGGTGTCGTCAGCACCACGCTCAGCCAGTGAACAAACCGGCCATCCCTATGTGGGATCCGAACCCATGGCCGTGGTGTTATCAGCACCGCACTCTCCCGAGTGAGCCACAGGCCGGCCCTTTTTTTTAAAAGATGACCGGTAAGGGGATCTTAACCCTTGACTTGGTGTTGTCAGCACCACGCTCAGCCAGTGAACAAACCGGCCATCCCTATGTGGGATCCGAACCCATGGCCTTGGTGTTAATCAGCACCACACTCTCCCGAGTGAGCCACAGGCCGGCCCATAAATGAGCTCTTTTGATTTGGGATCCTGTGGACAAACCTCGCTGATTCCCACAGCCCCTTGTGCTTTCTTTACCTTATTGCATCCATCATCTTGTGTTGTCATTGTCTGTTTATTCTCTTTTCTCGCAGGCATGTGACTTCCGCAAAGGCAGGGACTGTGTATCTTTAGCCTTCTGCTTGGCACATAAGCCCTAGGGCGAGCATTTTTGGATTTACAAATTGGTGACTGTTCCTGACTGTGTCTCTTTCCTTGTAGGCTGCTTATGATCCCTATGCCTACCCAGGCGACTATGATATGCACACAGGTGAGACCACGGGTTTGTCTGGCTAACTGAGTATGGATTGGCACCTATTGTGAATGTCTCACTACCAGCTCTGACAGGCACTTGGTAAAAACTACTTCTTGATGGTCCAGGTTTGGAGTCAGTCATTAGCTCTCAGTGGGAGGGGTTGTACAGGCCTAGTAAACCCAGCCTTTTTCATGGTCTGCCTCACAGTCTCAGAAGAGAAGGATTACTGACCTGGCTGTGGTTTCCTTGTTTAAACTATTAGCTAGAAAAGAAAATCTTGATGTTAAAAATTTAAGTGATTCAAACCAAGCCCAAATGAAATCTTTTGGGGAGGCTTTTGAAATGTTATAGTGACTTGGCTTGACTTAGAGTCATGCATTATTCTGGGTAATTTAAGTGAAATATTCCATTTTATCCTTACAACAGTTCTATAAAGTATGTACATTAATGTTGTCTTCTAAAGATGAGAAAACTGAGCACAAGGAGTTTAGTAACTTGCTGCAAACCATATAGTTAGAAGGTGGCAGTTACTCATTCAAAAAGTACTAAGTGCCTATTACCATTTCCTGTTCTCACAGTCTCCCACCTCTTTCCCAGCACATTGTTCTAGGCCCTGAGGGTACATCTGGGTACAGGACAGGCAAAGTTCTTGACCTCATAGACTTTGGATTCTAGGGGGCAAAACATAATAAAAAGTAACTAAGTATCAGTGCTGTACATGGAAACTTAAATAGTGGTAATTGTTCTCAGGAAACAAGGGCTATGGGTTTGGGGGTAACTTGGGAGATTTATATCTCTGAGTGTTAAAAGGGAATTATACTGTTTTTCAAAGGTTTGAGTTGAGTTTATGAGATGGGCTTGCCCTTTTGTTCCATCATATATATGAGTTTAAAAGCTCTCTGAAGGGCCTGCCCATGGCTCACTCAGGAGAGTGTTGTGCTGATAACACCAAGGCCACGGGTTCAGATCCCATATAGGGATGGCCGGTTAGCTCACGAGGTGAGCATGGTGCTGACAATACCAAGTCAAGGGTTAAGATCCCCTTACCGGTCATCTTTTTAAAAAATAAAATAAGTTTTTTAAAAAAAAGCTCTCTGAAAAGTATCATATTCAAACTCTAGGAGATCCAAAGCAGGACCTGGCTTATGAACGTCAATATGAACAGCAGACCTATCAGGTGATCCCTGAAGTAATCAAAAACTTCATCCAGTATTTCCACAAAACCGTCTCAGATTTGATTGACCAGAAGGTATATGAGCTACAGGCCAGTCGTGTCTCCAGCGATGTCATTGACCAGAAAGTATATGAGATCCAGGACATCTATGAAAACAGGTATGGGCTGCTTGCTGAAATGACCTCCTTCTGAATGGGACTGGCCTTGTGATTCAGCTCCTACAAAAGGAGTGATGCTTAATCATTTTTCTGTAAAGAGTGCTCAGGGGATCCTTGGGGCTAGGGTTATGTTATTTTGGGGACTTTGTATCCCAGAAACTTGTATAAGGCTTAAAATAATATCACAATTAATAATTATTGTAATAGCAGTTAGTATATATTGTTAGTATATGAGTAGATCAGGTGGTGGTCAAAGTGCTTTTCCTGTATTTGCTCATTTACCCTTGGCAGTAATCCCAGAAATGGGTACTATTGTTTTTCTCATTTTACAGATAAGGAAATAGTACACAAGTCAACATAGCTAGTTAAGTGGATGTGCTGAGTTTTGAACCTGCACAGTCTGATACAAGAGCCTGATTTCTAAATTGTGCTATGAAACCTCTCAATGCATAACAGGGTGAGCCAAGGTCTAGAGTGGTTTTGAGGGGACTGCCCTTGTGTAATGGGCATTAAAGATGACAGGTCTCGGGCCGGCCTGTGGCTCACTCAGGAGAGTG